ACAAGACTATTTGAAGTAGGGCCGGTCACGGTGGCTCACGCTTGTAATCCCAACACTTTGGGAGGCTGAGGTGGGTGGATCACCTGAGGTCAGGAGTTCGAGACCAGCCTGGCTAACATGGCACAACCCCATCTCTATTGGTAAACACAAAAATGAGCCTGTCGTGGTGGCACGCACCTGTAGTCCCAGCTACTCAGGAGGCTGAGGCGGGAGAATCACTTTTCCCTGGGAGGCGGAGGTTGCAGTGAGCTGAGGTTGTGCCATTGCACTCCAGCCTGGATGACAAGAGCGAAACTCCATCTCAAACAACAACAACAACAACAACAAACTATTTGAAATAAAAATCCAACTATATGCGTGCATAGGACTAATTTAGCTGGAAATTACCAAGCAGTTGGACAAACTATCATGAAAAATTTAAGTTGATCTCATTTCTACAATATATGGCTTCTGTTTCTGCTGCTGCTGCTTTTAAAAAAAAAAAATATATATATATATATATATTTTATTCGAGATAGGGTCTCACACCATCGCCCAGACTGGAGTACAGTGGTGCAATCTTGGCTCACTGTAACCTCCACCTCCTGGGCTCAAGCAATCCTTCCAACCTCAGCTTCCCTAGGAGCTGTGACTGCTGGTGTGCACCACCATGCCTGGCTAATGTTTGTATTTTTGGTACAGACGGGGTTTTACCACGTTGCCCAGGCTGGTCTGGGACTCGAAGTTCAAGCGATTCTCTTGCCTTGGCCTCCCAAAGTGCTGAAATTACAGACATGTCCCACTGACGCAACTTCTTGATTTGAAATTTTTGTAGCTCGTGTGTCTGAAGCGCTCTCTGGAGACTTCCCTGCCACTGGGGTACTGGCTGGAGGGCAGCTCTGCCGGGAGATGGGCTTCTTGAGGCATTTGAGGAATCCTGGCTATGCAGACCGATTTTCCATCCCTTGTCAGCTGAATGGTGAAAATAAGCAACTCTAGGGACATCATGCTGACTTTTCTTGGAACATAGAGCACAGATGCCACAGCTTAGCCACCTGCAGATGCAAGCAATTTAGATGCGAAGTGCATCACAACATGCGTGTTTGGCTCACTGCTTGGCGTTAGTAACTTAGTAACGAGGTCAAAATATTTTCTGGTAGGGGCCTTCATTCATCTTGTTATTGAACATTTGTGTGCTAGAATTCGTAAAGTGGTTTTCAACAGTTGTTTCTCTTTTGATAATGAAGTGACAACATTAGCAGAATTCAGGCTGTGAAAATGGATGCAGAAGCCCCCAGAAGTTTATTAAGAGTCATCTAGGCATCCAGCCCTTGGCGTTTGTAATTTTAGTGATCTTCATGCAGTTAATGTGAAGGTCAGTCGAGGGTCCGGTCTCCTGATCCTATAGCTTTTCCTGTCCCCACCACCCCAGGCTTTTGCCTTTTGAGATATATTTATTGAAAAAAGTTTTAAAGTCATGATTCTGAAAAGTTTAAAGGCACAAACCCATGGCTGAGCTCATAAAATGTTCCAGGAAGCTTTCATAACCTCATTCTGATTTAATCATCTGGGGAAAAGTGCTAGATATTGGTTACTTTGAATCACACTACCCTGTGTCGGCCCTAACATGGACAGAGATGGCAGGATCTACTCACCTCTATCATAGACTCTCAGGGTGATGAGTGGGCCTCCTTTGTAAACTTGGGACTAGGCCAGGCGTGGCAGCTCACACTGGTAATCCCAGCACTTAGGGAGGTCAAGGCAGGCAGATCACTTGAGGCCAGGAGTTCAAGACCAGCCTGGCCAACATAGTGAAACCCTGTCTCTACAAAAAAATACGAAACTTAGCCAGGCATGGTGGCGCATGTCAGTAGTATCAGCTACTTGGGAGGCTGAAGTGGGGGATCACTTGAACCTGGGACGTTGAGGCTGCAGTGAGCCAAGATTGTACCACTGCACTCCAGCCTGGGTGATGGAATGAGACCCTGTCTAAAGCAAAAAGCAAAAAACAAAAAAATTTGGTGTAGAAAGGGAGTCCTTACAAAAGATAGTGTGGAATGATTGATTACGAAACAGCTGATTTTGCAGGAAAGGGTAATGGAGACCTGGCCAAACCTAGCATTCAAAAGAAATGGCCTCAAATGCAAAAAGTGCTGGTTGTCGTATGGTTTAGGGATAAAAATGCTGTGGTATTTTTATAATTTAGATTTGATTTTTATAAAAAATTATAATTTATAATTTATATTTATAAAAATACCACAGTATTTTTATCCTTCTATTCTTTAATCACAGATAGGCCCAAGAGATCCTAGAGTTTGTGCCCAAATCTCTGTATGACAAATGAGCTGCTGCTTAAACTGTGCAAGTAGTCAGTTGGGATGACATGAGATTAGGTGGTTGCATTAGATGGTTCGCGCTGGGTGACGAGGATTTTCATTGATCTGCTTCTGCAGGTCCTGAAACCAGGGCTGGAGGAGTCCTTTCCATGATTTGCAATGTTTTTTTTTTTTTTTTTGAGACGGAGTTTCGCTCTTGTTACCCAGGCTGGAGTGCAATGGCGCGATCTCGGCTCGCCGCAACCTCCGCCTCCTGGGTTCAGGCAATTCTCCTGCCTCAGCCTCCTGAGTAGCTGGGATTACAGGCACGCGCCACCATGCCCAGCTAATTGTTTGTATTTTTAGTAGAGACGGGGTTTCACCCTGTTGAGCAGGATGGTCTCGATCTCTTGACCTTGTGATCCACCCGCCTCGGCTTCCCAAAGTGCTGGGATTACAGGCTTGAGCCACCGGATTTGCAGTGTTGATTCGCGTAGGGGCTTTCACCTTTCACTCTTCCTTCTCCGTGGCTGTTTTTCATTTTCTGTGATTGTGTGTCTGTGTTTACTTATCGATGCTGTTCCCTGTCATTAGCTCAGTTGACTCTAGTGTCTCAGATATGGATATTTTGGGCCTAAAGGTACCAGGCTGGAGCATGTGAGAGGGTAGATGAGCTGAAATGGGTCACTCGCCTGAAAAGCAATTCTGCAAGTAAGGTGCGTTTATCAGATGGGGTTGGGGCGGGGTTTATAATTCTTGCCCTTTGGATTTGCTTTCCCGTCCCCTCCTGTAAGGATTAGACCTTGTCCTGTTTGCCAGGACTGAAGAGGCATCTTCAGAAATGGAAGATGGAGAGGCGCAGCCCTTTGAAGGTGTGGGGATTCACCATCAGTTACTCCCTCTAGACTCGCCCTGACTTTCCATGCTCTGCTTCCCTCCAGCGCTCCAGGGGAAAACGTCTTCAGAGAGGCCGAAATTGCCTTAAGTTTTTTTGGTGTTGATTTAGCGGATTAGATAATTGAGTTTCTAACTCTATGGATGCAAACTTTTCCCTGTCTCTCTAGAGACATATCATAGTTGAACATTTTGTATGTTTTTGGCTAGGCAGTAGTCACTGATTATCAAAATTCTGTTATAGGCCAGATGCGTGGCTTATGCCTATAATCCCAGCACTTTGGGAGGCCAAGACAGGTGGAGCTTGAGCTCAGGAGTTCAAGACCAGCCTGGGCAACATAGCAAAACCCTGTCTCTACACACACACACACCAGTCAGGTGTGGTGGCACACACCTTTAGTCTCAGCTACTCAGGAGGCTGAGGTGGGAGGATTCTTTGAGCCCAGGAGGCAGAGATTGCAATGAGCCAATATCGTGCCACTGCACTCCAGCTTTGACAACAGAGCCAGACCCTGTCTCCAAAAAAAATTCTGTTATGAAATTCTTGCATGCTCTCTATTTTCCTTGTTCTAGTCGCTAAGTATTGGTAGTAATCATTTATGTACCAATCAGAAAATAGTAGTGTCTAACCAGATGAAGGAGAGAAAATTGGTCGATATCTTCTGACAATTACTGGCACTTCATAGAGGAAGACAGGATATTTTGAAAAATGTCTAGATTGGCATATATTTGTGATTTTACTTACATTAGCAAGCATTAATCTTTAAAAAAGTCTACTTGAGTTCATATATAGCCTAAAAGAACCTAATGGAGAATTTATTTCAGTCAGTCCTGTGACTTATAGAAGAGAATTAGTCATGAGTTGAAGTTTTAATGTTTTCTTAAATTATAACGAAGGAATTGGCAAGTTTTGTGGCACGTTATTTCAACGCTGTGAATGTTTTATAATATTTGCATGTTTGCCTTTTTCTGTCCTAAAATGACATTACCAATTCTGCTTTTCTGAGATCGAGGTTGAGTATGGTTTTCCCAGAAAACCAAGAGTAAAACCCATGTTAGGACGTCCGTTTCGAGCAGTCAGCATCTCAAGTGGGCTCTGTGCTGTCATGCATGTGACAGATGATAAGAGTTAAAGTCCTGCCTTAGGGAGCTGCTGTCAGACCAGTGAGCCAAGCGGGGCAACTTTCTCCTAATTCACAAGCAGTCACTCAGCTGTATCACCTGAGATCAGGAGTTCGAGACCGGCCTAGCCAACATGGCAAAACCCCATCTCTACTAAAAATACAACAGTTAGCCAAGTGTGGTGGCACATACCTGCAGTCCCAGCTACTCTGGAGGTTGAGGCAGGAGAATCGCTTGAACCTGGGAGGCAGAGGTTGCGGTGATCCAAGATTGTGCCACCACACTCCAGCCTGGGTGACCAAACAAACAAACAAGTGGGCCAGCCTGTGCAGCGGCACACACCCGTAATCCCAACACTTTGGGAGGCCAAGGTGGGCAGATCACCTGAGGTTGGGAGTTAGAGACCAGCCTGACCAACATGAAGAAACCCCATCTCTACTAAAAAATACTAAATTAGCCAGGCGTGGTGGCAGGCACCTGTAGTCCCAGCTACTTGGGAGGCTGAGGCAGGAGAATCACTTGAACCTGGGAGGCTGAGTTTGCAGTGAGCCGAGACTGCGCCACGGCACCACAGCACCACAGCCTGATGACAGAACAAGACTCTGTCTCAAAAAAAGTAAAAAAAAAGGGGTAAATCTAGCACTATTCATATCTTCTCTCTCTGAAGCTTCTTCTCTGCTCGTTTTTCAGAAATGTCAAAATAAAAACTGGAGAATGGTTCTATGAGGAACGAGCCAAGAAATTTCCGACTGGAGGTAAATGCTCTTCTCTTTTTTACTTAAGTAAGATGATATATTCCTAGTTTTAAAATATGTGATGTTAAGACTTTTAAATATAAGCAACATGATGGGTTTAGTCCGTGGGCCCGCCTGTCTTGCTGTTCCCTTTGCTGGTGCCCTCCGCTTAACCCTCACCACTCATTCCCTCTGCCTGCGACTCTTCCGTCTGCTGCATTTCCCCCTCGGAGGTTGGCCTCATCCTTTAAGGCTCTCGCACCGCCAGGTTTCCCTGGCTTCCTGCTTCTAGGTGTCACATTCCCTCCTCTGAAACACCGTCAGCGCCAGGTTTGTCATCCTCTTCTGTAATTGTTGCAAAGTGCCTCGTATGGTAGCATTGTTTGTGCACTTCTGTTTTTCTCTACAAGCAGTGACTGATTTTAAAATCTTGTCAGCCTCCATAGCACCAAAGCACAATGCCTTGTTTATGATACTTGAGCAAAATTATTGAATAACTGAAGACCACAGTGAGCGAGCAGCGTTTGAACTGAGCAGATGTTGATGGTTGCGGAGTGGGCGCACGTTGTGATTCTGTAAGTGGAAACGTGCATTTCGTCTGTGTACTATGAATGTCTCATAATGAGATGTTGACCTCAAGAAGGAAACTGAGGCGAAACGAATCTAGGTGGAAAGTTTATATGGGCCGAGGCTGAGATCTGCGGCCCAGGAAACACTTCCAAGTGCTCTGGGAAACAAAGGAGAGGCTTGAGGTGTTTTTTTTTCTTTTTTCTTTTTTGAATAAGGGTGAATCGGGAGAGAGGCAATTACAGAAGCTGGTTTTCAGGGATTCTCATTGGTTTACAGAAATACCATTGATTCGGGCTGGGTGCGGTGGCTAATGCCTGTAATCCCAACACTTTGGGAGGCCAAGGCTGATGGTTCACGAGGCCAGGAGTTTGAGACCAGTCTGGCCAACATGGTGAAAACCTGTCTCTACTAAAAACACAAACATTAGCTGGGTGTGGTGGCAGGTGCCTATAGTCCCAGCTACTTGGGATGCTGAAGCAGGAGAATCACTTGAACCCGGGAGGTGGAGATTGCAGTGAGCCGAGATCGTGCCATTGTACTCCAGCCTGGGTGACAACGTGAGACTCCGTCTCAAAAACAAACAACAAAAAAGAAATACCATTGATTCATGATTGGCTACCTGTTGCTGAGCTATAGGGTATGAGTTACGGTGTCCAGTGTATGGCATTGTTAGGATAATTTATGGCTATTGGTGGTGACACTAAATCTAGAGTCCATACGGCAGGTGACTTTGATTAGTTAGACCAAGTTGGGGGAGGCGATTGCTGTCTAATTTCAGTGTCTCTCTAGACTTGATCATTTAAAGGAAGCTTGTATTTCTTAGATTAAAAGTTTATTTTCTTTCTCAAAAGTATGTGCAATGGATGGCATGCCAGTGTAATTGGTTGCTAGGACTTGGAACTGTGGAGAGGATGATTTGTGCTTCGATCACAGAGATGCCAGGACAAGGCATCGGGACAGAGGTGCACACAGTGCGGGCAGGTGCCTTGGGAACCACATCGGGAATGCGGGCAGCACCCCTCCTCTGTGACATGATGATGGGGACCCGGACTCACAGCCTGACTTAGAGGGCAGAGGTGGCTCTTTTCCAGAAAAAGCGGCAATTTGCAGATAGAGAAATAAGTCACGTGACCTCACCCAAAAATGTGTTGGCAGTAAAGGCAGCCATTTATTTGAATTGATATTCAGCTTTTATAAAGGGTAGCTTCACCCAGGTACAGATTTGTTTGGTGCTAAATTCTCCCATGGCTTATATTCCTGGCTCTTCTTACTCAGGAAAAAAATGCTGCTTCTGCCAAGTTTATTGGAAAGCTGGGGGAAACCCGAATACTAAGGTGCAGTGCCAGGCAGTGGAATGAAACAGGCTCGTCCGTCCCTCTCTAAGCCAGTGTTTCTCAACACCTTCCCGCCCTCACCGTCTCCTCCACCCCATACAGCCTTTTTAGACACTTTTTCAAAATCACTACCATAACATTTTGATTATCACAGATATCATATATCTGTCTACGTACTGAGGCGTTTTGGAGAGCCACGGACTGTTGAAATCGCGAAGATTTGTTGCCAATCTTTGTGCCCTTAGGGGTGCCATCATCCCATGTGGGATGCGTGACCTTGGCGAAGCAGCTGCAAGCGCAGGACCTTTCTCTGTTTTTATTGCTTTTATGTTTCTCTCTCTCTTTTTTTTTTTTGAGATGGAGTCTCGCTCTGTCATCCAGGCTGGAGGGCAGTGGCATGATCTCAGCTCACTGCAACCTCTACCTCTTGGGTTCAAGCGATTCTCCTGCCTCAGCCTCATGCCACCACATCAGGCCAATTTTTGTATTTTTCGTAGAGATGGGGTTTCACCTTGTTGGCTGGTCTCAAACTCCTGACCTCAAGTGATCTGCCCACCTTGGCTTTCCAAAGTGCTGAGATTAAAGGTGTGAACCACTTCACCTGGCCACTTTTATGTTTCTTTAAAATACTTTTTTTTTTTGTTGGAGGGCTGAAGCCTTCTTCAAAAGGTTGATTCTGCCCTTTTCCATAACAATTCCTAGTTGATGAACAGCAGTGCTGTAGGAGGTAAAGTTTCTGTCATTTCTTAATGCCAACTCAGTGCAGACATCTCCTTCACTGAAAATGTTTTCTATGTCATTGGAAGGTCTAGCATCGTTATTTCAGATAAATTAAGTCTTCATGTGTGTCCATGCATGTGTGCATGAATGTGTGTGTGTGTGTGTGTGTGTGTGTGTGCGCAAACACATTACCATCTTGTCATCTTTTCAGCACGTCATCTCACCTGAGTGGGTGGGAGAAGTATGTTATCACAGTGAATTAAGATTAAAGAGGGAAATAGGTCAGGCGTTTCCCTTTTTACAGGCTCACACCTGTAATCCCAGCACCTGGGAGGCCTAGGTGGGTGGATCATGAGATCAAGTGTTCAAGACCAGCCTGACCAACGTGGCGAAACCCCATCTCTACTAAAAATACACAAATTAGCCAGGGATGATGGTGGGCACCTGTAATCCCAGCTACTCAGGAGGCTGAGGCAGGAGAATCACTTGAACCCAGGAGGCAGAGATTGCAGTGAGCTCAGATTGTGCCACTATACTCCAGCCTGGGGGACAGAGTGAGACTCTGTCTCAAAAAAAAAAAAAAAAAAAAAAGGAAAGGGATGAGACTGGCATTTTAGGGCTTTCTTTCTTGCCTTGTAACTTTAAGAATAAAAACATCAATAAGGACAAACCAGAGTCAGGATAATTAACCTGCACATAAATCATTCTTTTTTGCTGATGCCATTTCTATCAATGTAGCAAATAAACACCAAAAATCCCCCCAAATTCCCCCCTTCTCTTCAGTCCTTCCTCAAATGCCAAGGTGCCTGATTTTCCTCTTGTTCTATTTCAGTAGAGTTGGGGTAAGAGGCACAGAACTCTGGAGAACGATGCCAGGTTGGGAGCACACGAGTAGTGCTGTGAGTTAGACCATGTGGGGTGGAGTTTGCAGCAGGTGAGTCAGGAAAGGTAACCAAGGGTCAGATGACAGAGGCTCAGGTGAACATGCAGGAATTCCACCACGCTCCTATTTGTGCCCCTAAAAGAGAACCAGGTGCAGTCATTGAGGAGTTGAATTGAATTTTTGTGCTTTAGCAGTTGAGATCCACTTGGGATAACAGAAACTGTCTGGTTATTTGAACAAGAATTTAGGGATTGGTTAGTCAGGAATTGGAGGCAAAAAGGGAACCGTGAGAGAACAGAGCTGGCAGCTGCAGGAAGCCGACCCCGTCCGACCCTGCCGAGCTGACGCTGGCCGGACACAGGTCAGGAGAAAGGCGTGAGCCCCTTCTCCCTCCTCCTGGCTCTGGTCTCCCTCTGGCAGCCCCCACTGGACTCTAATGGCGAGGCAGCTGCAACCTCAGTTCTCGGATGTGTTCCGGAAATGTGTGGTTTTGCATGTTCTCTAGCGTTTTCGTTGTTATGGTGGGGGCAGTACTCTTTCCAGCCCTCTATATCTTGAGCAGAAGTTCGAAAAACTAGATGGTGGTTTAAACCACAAAAGGGTACAGACAGCTCCAGCCTGTGCCTCTTTCCATGCCCTGGTTATCTATTGCTGTATAGCAAATTCCCCTCAAACCTAGTGATGTAAAGCAAGTAACATTCTTTTACCTAGTTTCTGTCTTCAGTGGAAGGCTTGCCTGGGCCTGGGGGAGTCTGTGCTGTCCCGGCTTGCCCTCATACCTGGCCAGTGACTGCTGGTGTTGGGAGGAGGACTTGGCTCCTCACCATGTGGATGTCTCCACAGGGCTGCTTGAGTGTCCTCCTGACATGGCGGCCAGCTTCCTGCAGGGCAAGTGATCCAAGAGAAAGAAAAGCAGAGCCCCACAGTATCTTTTATGGCCTAGCTTCCGAAGCCACACACGCCCTGTCATTTCTGCTGTGTCTGTTGGTCCCACAGGTCAGCCCTAGTCAGAGGAGACTACAAAATGGTTTGGTTCTCAGGAGGCAGGAAGTACTGGGACCATCCGGGAGATGGCTGCCAAATCCTGTGTTCCTTATCCTGGGAGGATGGTAACACCTCTCACTCTGTCCCCAAATCCATAGATCCGAGAATCATGCTTGACTTCGTTCCTCATTCTGCCCCTACATCCACTCAGTCAGCAAATCCTGACATTTCTGCCTCCCAAGTCTCTGGAATATTCCTCTCCATTCTCACTCCAACGTAGCAGCTCCTAACTGGCTCCCACCGACCCCATCTGCTTCCCACTCGGTCCCTCTTCTATTCCGTGAAGAGAGAGAACTTCCTTCTCTCTTTTAAAGTAAGTTACTTACGTTCTGATTACAGAAGTAATGCAAACATTGCAGACATTTGGGAAACATAGAATAATATTTAGATGCAGTGGAAATATGACCACAATTCTAAATCACTGCAGATTACATACCTGTGTACGCATGTGCGTGTGCACACACCTGCAT